GACATTACAATGAAAGCAAAGAGAGGGAAAAGAGGTGTTTGTGTATTTGTGCATGTGTGACGGTGAAGTAACACAAACAGCTCTTCTGTAGTTCCCCATGAGAGGAAGAATCAAGACTTCAAAAATGGCCCTCTCTGCGAGAAACACTTGGCTTCAGGTATCACTGCAGATAATGAGCAGTGAATATCATTAGCACAACACGCTAGCCTGCGTGCACCACACGCTTCACATCCCTGCGCCTATTAAAACTTTATTTATCATTGTATCCATCCATCTACCACACTTCATAACACAACGAATTAAGCAGACACGTGTGAGAATGACAGGGAAAAATATAGTGACTATTAGTGTTTTTTTCAGTTTCCTGCTTTATATTACCTTGGACTGTTTAATGAAAAAAGTGTTTTTTCATTTTTTTTTAACAATGATTTATTGAAAGTGTTCATTTTTAAAAGCATTAGTATTTTTGGTTGCTGTTATGAAACACCAACAACTTTGTGCGGTAAGCGCTGCCAGTTCAAACATGATTGTAGCCAAAGTAATACAAAAATGGCAAAGTGGTGTTAAAGCAGTTACGAGAGGAGAATTAAGAGTTGTAAAGACAAAATGATACAAAAACATCCTGAGTGATAGGGCTGTTCAATATAACGATATATATCGGATGACGATATGAAAACATCTATCATTTCATTTTACGCTATCATTTGTTTTGTGGTGTTGCAAAATAAACTGTTTACGGCAATATTTTTTATCGATTTGATGGTCACTGTAGTGTTAATTTCTTAAAGTTCTCTCTTTCTCTTATATTTAATATAACCACACTACGGCCGGACAAGTGCCTGTTTTTATGTGTTGTCATTAGCAACAACGAAGGTAAAACCATCGCGTGGCTCCACTGTCCGCTTATTTACACATAAACCTTTCACAATAAAGCTGAAGATCCTGTTGAGATTTTTTAATAATAAACTGAATCACGTGAAAGAGTATGCAGAGTGTGTACGGATGAGAAGCAAAAAAGAGGTGCTAAAAAAAAACATCGAAATGTGTAACACAGAAGGATAATACAGGAATGCACAGATATCAACACACCATAGCACAATAAACACAGACAGCAACATGGGAAAGAGTTGCAGTGTGTACATCTGATCTGGGACCGCTGCAATCTTTCAACTGCGCCTCCAACTGACCCGATGTCCACATCAGAGGGGAGGTAAGCGTTGGAGGTGGCGTTGGATCCGGGGTAGGGAGGGTGATGTAATAAATACCCACAAAGAAAATGTCTAAAAATGTATAGGTATCAGGTACACGACCAGCTAAACAAAAAAAAAAAAAAAACTTCACGCAAATCGAATTGCCCGAGATTCAGAGAATTTTCAGAAAATGTAATATTTTGTGATGTATATTGTTGTCGAGACGATAAATGTCTTATGTCGGGATATTAGATTTTGGTCATATTGCACATTCCTACTGAGTGGTTATGGAAACAAAAATTATATTCTATATTTTAATCTTCTTCCTTTGGCTGCGCCAACTTCTTCTGTCACGCTAACCTCCTCCTTCACTACACCCATGAACGTCTCTGTGGTCTTCCTCTTTTCCTTCTGCCTGACAGCTCCATATTCAACATCCTAGCAATTCCAAATTTGAAGGAGCGCAAAACATAAAAGTTAAAGATTGTTGTATGCTAGCTAGCTTAATGATTGCAAAATCAACTGTGTATGATTTTAATAGCAAGTAAGCAAATGCTGTAGTTAAACAATGGAAAAATGTCAAACTGTTTTAGAAAGACTGATAAAATCTATGCAGAAATACAATGAGTTGTGTTTACTAACAAAAACCCTGTTACTAGACCTGAATACCAAATAATGATGAAAAAATAAATTATAGAAACTAAAAAAGTGAGAAAGTAGTTAAAAAAAACACATCAAAACTTTTTTAATGTATGCCAGTTAAAATCTAAGATCACAGACTTGCATTCATGCCTGTTATACTTCTTGACTTGTCCACTGCCTGGGGTGCATGCGCAGTTGGTGCATTGTAAAGTCTCTACAGCTCAGTTTGCACAATCACAAAAAATTGGCAAGCATGTAGATGTCCAAATGGATCCTCATGCTCACCGTGTGAAGAGGAAGTTTATGCGTGGAATCACAGACACTTCAACTGTAATTGAGGTCTTTGTGCTCCCACGAACTGCACTGGGCTTGTGAGGTCACTGTGAGGACACGTCCTGGTCCAAAGAAACTGCAAAATTCAACTAACATGAAAGATCTAGTTCATTCTAAACTACTCCCTATAGCGTAGTTCTGATTGACTAAACTGATCAAATAAACTGTCATCCAGATCACTGTAGTCTAAGGAGCTTGAAAAGAAAAGTGTCTGGACTTCTTTAAGTTTCTTGAAGACGTTTCACCTCTCATCTGAGAAGCTTCTTCAGCTTCTTGAGTTCTAAGGTCAAATGGTGGAGAGTCCCAGATTTTTAAGCCCTATGGAAGAGTCCCCCAAGAGGGTCATGTACCCCCTATTGATCCTCTGCCTAATCACACGAGCCGAGGTGCGAAAATGGGTGTGGGTCCCAATCAGCCAAGGTATCGAATGAACAATTTTCTGTTTGACCAAAATTCCACAAGGGTAAGGACAAGGAACCATTCTGCCACCTACATCTTCAGGAAACCATCATGACAACAACTAGCACTTCATCATGTGATTTGCCAACAACTAACACTGCTTCTGCCCCTGAGAGCGGCCGTCATGAAACGTCACGAGCCTGCCACTCCTGCTGGGGGGGCATTTCATATAAAACTGTATTACATCCATGGGATGAAAGATTAATAATAACAATGACAATGGCACAAAATGCAGTATCATCTAATAATATGCACTGCCAATTGTCACTTTTGCTCTCTTATAGTTTTTTCAGAGTTTTTGTCATTATCTTGAATTGCTAACCAGTCATTGTTTTCTGTGAATTGAAATAAATTCAAGTGTGTGCGACTTCATAGACCAAACATGACCCTGTTTAGAAACACTATTAAAAACATTTATATTATACTACATAATACATATCATTATATCACTCACAGCAAGAATTATACTTGCCAGTGCTTCAATTTAACTTTGAGTGTTATATTTGAGTGGAGTGGACAAAGCAGGGAGTAACTTTTGGTTCACTGTGCCAGCCAAAATTAAAGTAATTAAATGAATCCGTGTCAAGAGTAATTCAAACCTGGTCTAGTATCCGGCTACATAAGGCCTCCATTCAGCCAAAACCTTCCTCTTTAGAGCCAGTGCCTCGCGTACCAAGCTTTAGCAGGGAGTGGGACCACTATGTACAGCACACCAAAGCACTCTTGGACACTTGTGTCAATCCAGCCCAGCCAATAAACATCAAAGTGCTGGTTTGGCAGCTGCCCTAAGGACAGTCAGCCAAGGCCAAGAAAAATTCTAAACCCACACACAACTACACAAGTAGGGGAAGATGTTAAAGGCATCTCTGCCAGGTACGCCTGTCATGCAGTATCATGTTGAACAACCAGGCTTAATGACAATGAGGAAGTTTACAGTAGGGGACCAATGCACCGAAACACTCGTGGGTCAGTAATCCCAACATATAGGCCACATATGACAGCCAGTAAGGTGTTAATTAAGCTAGGCTGCAAGTTTTGATATGCTTGCCCCATTTTGGCATGTACAAACGTTAGTTGTGGGTTCTTTGGGTCAGTTTTAGTGTCCAACAGTTCAACATTTGGAAAAACTGGGCAATTAAAGCTAGATTTAGAAACGTGGTTGCCCGACAGCTTAGGAGACAACACCAAAGGGTTAACAGACAAACATAAATCAGATACAGCTTTTGCTTTTTGAGGACGCAGTCTCTGAAATTATTGTAAATCAGTACTATAGCTAGATAGCTAGTGAATATATGCTGAATATGGTGTTCCCAAAAAAGACAAATCCTGCTTTAAAAAGACACCATAAGCTAGCTACAAAGCAAACATGTCACAATCAACACATGAGAGATGACCAAGGATAGGTAAACAACAACAGACACACCAGCTATTAATACGTAAACACAATATCCATTTCTTGCAAGAATTAGGATTTTGTTAACTACTTGTGAACATGCTTCCAGTTAACTACTAAATCCCTTTCTAAAAGGATGTATAATAACTAAGCTCTGTCCCACACTGACAATATTACACATCTTAAATGTCAAGATGATGAGTATGTTTCTTTTCTGGGCCTTGTAATCTCCCTATGTTTGCCTAGGACTGCTGCCACTTCCTCCCACATGTTTTCATTTGCAAATCTAAAGTTGTCCATACAGTGTATTGGTCTGTGTGCATCATCTACCTCTGAGGTGGCAGCGTGCATCTGACTGCAAGAATATCATCAAAGCAGATGAGTGTTTTGTTTTAGTCTGGTTATCATGCCATAAATTAAATTGTAATCGTGCTGTATTCATAAGGTAATATTTTCACAATAAAACTAATAGACGTGTGAACACAGAAGACAGGGTCTGTTTTATGTACATGTATTTATGTTTGTGTGCTCCAGAAAAGAGAGAAGAAAAGATGCATCACTCACCACTTTGTCCTCCTGCAGCTCAGTCAGCCATCCATGTATAATGAAAAGAAAGACAGAAAGAATGTGAACAAAAAAATGGTATCTGAAAGCATGGGAATGATCCTACTGTGCAAGCCTGCAAGTCACAAACACTGTCATACGCAGATATTTCAGTTTCCAATAATATTCCCATCACTGAAGATGAAAGAAAATGCATTGCCCTTTAAAATTCCTCATTTACATCCACCGCAAACCCAAATACCTAACGGTTGCTGGCCTACAATAGCACATGACAAGATTCGTGCATGGTTATAGCCTCCCTAAATTAAAACGTAATATCTTCTGATTTATGAAAATGAGGTTAAAGCAAAACTATAAACCAACTTCAAGCTGAAAGAAGAATACAAAAATCTATCCGCTCTATTCTCAGTTCACAAATATTAACATAATCTATTTCATTGTTTAAAAGCATATAGAGCTAAAGCAGACAGCTTAGCTTGCCATAGGAAAGCTCTTTACTCTGTCCAAAGGCCTACCTACCAGCTCATTTCAAGTTCACTAGATAGTAACAATAACAATATAGTAATGTAACAGCTTCTTCTCAACCTAAAATGAATCTTTAAGCCACTGAGGCAACCCAAGTGATTAACAGACTACAGACTGTCCACAAACATTAGCAACAAGTAGTAGCAATCTCTGGTCACAGCTGACTCCATCTAAAATCAAAGCTGTACTGTTTGTGTACAGATTAAACCAACACTTAGTTTATTATTGAGTTTTAGAGGTAGGCGTATATTTAAGCGTTAGGCTAAGTGTTATCAATCTACAACATTTAAACAAACCTAAGCTAATCCGCTAATGAATCTGGCTCTAGAGAAAGAGACATTATAAAAGACACAAGGCTCCGATTCTGCAACAGAAACTATAACAGTTAAAGCAGAACTTTATTTTAAAACCCTGTCCTGGGTTTCGGTGATGACTATCTTTGGTGATGACCTGAACTTGAGCTGTGTGCTGTCAAAATGTGTATTTTTTAATTGTTCTCCAAAGTTTTGGCAATCACTGAATGAAAAATAATCATCAATTCTGTGTCTCCAAAAGATGTAGATTTAGAAAGACACAGATTTGTATCTTAATGGGCACTGAACAACTGAATATTACTCATTTTTCTGTTTGACTGTCTCGTTAAGGAAACTGAAAAAGATTTGCTTCTGTATAAATGATTGTATTCCTTTAGTTATTTGAGTAAATGTCCAGTGGTGGTAAAAATCTACCACTGGACATTTATTCTTGAGTAATTTCATATCTTCCCTGAGTCGTAACGCATGTTTTCTGTTCACACTGAGCAAACTTAACAAAGTATAATTAAACAGAAAGTCAAACAAACATTAATAAACAGTGTTGTGAGTCTGCTTGTGTGTATGTGTGCGTACCTGTCAATGTACCTTTCAAACAGTTTCCACTAGATGTAACGCCCCCACCCCCCTGCTGAACTCTCCCCACGTTAGCCACTAACTAATTAGGATGTACTTTTGAGCATTTGTGTGTTTGCGTGTGTGAGGTCATTAAATGCCACAGCGACAATTCAGGGGAGGGGATGTGGGGATTGGGGGGGTAAGACGGGATGTCACTTATTTCAGAGGAAGACTTGCCTCCCAGCATCACCACACACGCACATACACCCCACTGTGTGTGTATAGGGCACCTCCGGACCCCTGGCAGAGCGAGACAGAGTGAGAGACACCCCCCTCTCCCATCCACTGCTCAGTCTAATGCCCAATTAACCTTTACCAGGTCTCACACACACACACACACACACACATGGTAACACACACAGGGCTCAGATACAGTACATTTCGAGAGCACATACAGTACGACCCACGGCTCATCAGCTCCATCTGAGTTCCAACACCTGAGGCCTGATGTGATGTTCAGTGCACGCTTTTATCACCAGCTGCTTGTAGGAAGTATACTGAGTGTAGATTTAATTTCAATTACTTATTCGCGTTTACAACGTTACCATAATTTAGAAAAAAAAACATATTCCATCAAATAAGACTTGAATCTTGAGGATAACAGCATAAACTCAGCAGGAAAGCGAACATGCGTAGGTTGTGCACAAACAGCATCAGTCCATCTAAAATCAAACATCAACCGTCTCAAATTTCCTAGCAATCATTATACATGTCCAAACTTTGGGTCATTCAGTTTTAATGCAAATCAGAGATGGCTGAG